CAGGCCCGTCAGCACGTGCAGGGAGCAAGCCCCGCGGCAGGGCAGGGCGGGCCACCCCCATCTCAGCCTCGATAGTCAGCTCGCCTCACAACACATGCTGGCAACGGACATGCAGTCACCCGACAGCTAGACACGGGCCAGAGAGCCCCCGTGTGCGGGCCCAACACGGCACCACCGAGGCGCGAGGCGCCCAAGAGGCCGGCCGCCGGCTCTCAGCCTGACCCCGAGCTCCCAGGAGGCCAGACCCTGCGCACCAGGGACAAGCCCGCGTCCCACCCAGGCAAGCGCTAGGGCTCTGGCTACAGCAGCAACACGGCGCACATCGGACCAGCTTCCCTGGCCCAAACCCCACGGAGCGGACCCGGCACTTTAAAAACACAACTGAAAGCCGCGGCGGGGTCCAGAGCCGGTGAGAAACCTCCTGGTCAGAGTGACGTCTCCACTCCGGCCGCTTCTCCCAGCACCGCATGCTGACTGCACAGCCAGAGGCGCCCGGTGCCGGTGGGAAGGCCCACCTGCCAGAACCACCTGCCAGAACCACCTGGAGAACGAGGGGCCGTGCTCAGAAGCGTGTGAAGTCGGGAAACACACAAGGAAGAAGTCGGTCACCTTGCCAGAGCTCCTGCCTTCCCGTTTCCCACGGCCGTCAGACGGGCGATCGAGGGACGTCACCCAGGACGTGGCTCCACCTTCACCCGACGGGGCCGTGAGTGGGGCGTCCTGCACGTACACACGCTGACGCTACCACCGACGGCCCCGGCACAGCCGAGCGCCGGCCACGGGCCCAGCACCTGCCTCACACAGGCCCGTCTCGGGCTGGAGCTACGCGCTAACCTGGTCTTCTCTTCTCAGGCCGTTTCTACGACAGACGCAGTCGGTGTGAGCTGCCCCCATGGGGACCTGTTGGCTCTGCCTTGCCCTCAAGCCTGGCCGTTCTTGCTGCTTTTGGTCACCAATCTTGGGGAGCGGGCCAGGGCCAGAGGCCAAGGTGCATCCCGCCTGGTCCTGCCGCCCGCAGGGCTCTCTCCCCTTCTCTGCGCTCAGCTGCTGCTCAGCCTCTGGAACCCGACACCTGAGCCCCCTGACTTCTGGAAGCATCCGCTCAACCCTGGCTCTTTCCTGCTGGGAGGAGTGGCCGTGACGGACAGGACGCCCCCCACAGAGCACAGAGCACCCGGCGCCTGCACCCCAATCCAGCTGCAGACCGGCCACCCGCTGTCAGCTCGGAGCAAGGCCCCCGGGACACAGGCGCGTGGGCACCACCACCATCAACCACTGCGCCCGCACTGGGTGCCGTCAGAGCAACCTCCGTGCCAGGACGGGTGCTGCCCGCAGGGGCGGGGTGATGCGAGGGGCGGGGCACTGCATGCAGGGGTGGGGTTGATGCGCCCAGGGGCAGGGCCTGTGCCCTCCGGCCCGAATCCACCCACTCGGCACATGGGTGGCATAGCTAAGACGACCCTGTGCGGACTGTGGTGCACCTGACAGCACGCAGCTCAGCCGCTGGGGTGACAGCCACCAGCGGAGCCCGTGCCCTAAGCTCAGGGCAGAGCCCCGTTCACCCCTCTGGAGCCACCAGGCCTCACAGGGGCGTCCCTCAGTGAGGCCACCCTCGCGCTAGCGGGGACAGTTCTGCCCGGGGAGGTGACTCCTCCGCCTGCCCACTCGCCTCCCAGTTCCCAGGGGACTCCCCATCCGCGTCCCCACGCGCCCACGTCCTCGGCTGGGCTAGCAGTGCGGGGCCCTTCTCCAGGACACGCAGAGAGCACGGTCACTGGCTGGCCGCTGGCTCACCCGTCGGAATCCACCAGGCCACGATTTGAGTCTTTATCTCCGTGACGGTTTCCGAACTAGGGCCACCTGAACACCACCAGTTTCTGACACTGTGAACTCAGTGGCTAACTTCCTGGGGAGCACACGTAACTGCTGGGCTCTTTCTGGCCTTGAGGAGGCACAGCTCAGGTCACCCGGAGGCCGTGGCCCCACGTCCGAGCAGAGCCACCGCCGCCCTCGCCGCCGCCCCGGACTCTGACGTGGCCCCAGGAGCCCGGCTCGCCAGGTCTCGTTCAGTCTGTCCCACGTGCAGGACGTGGCCGAGGAGCGCTCTCCACGCCCACACAGCGTTTACACGCGGGGTGAGGACGGAATGGTGGGGAGTGTGTATTTTATTGTTATAACCACATTGTCACAAGCCAACCACTGCGTCCTTGCGAGGAGCCAGGCACCCAAGGGCTCTGCATGCATGACAATAAATAATGGCTCTGCATATAAGCACAACCAACGGACACAAGCCACTGGGGGGTAGGAGAGGGCGGGGGAATGTCAAGGGGGAGGGGAAGGAGACATATGTAATACTCTTTGTAATACTTTCAGCAATAAAATAAAAATTAAAAAAAATTTTTAAAAAAGATTTTGAAGCTATGCCCCTCCCCCCCAAAAATAGTAACGGCTCAGGACACACACACTCCACGCTGCGGAGGCGTCTGCGGCAAACCGCGTGCTGCTGGACCGTGAGGACACAGAGGCCCTGCCCTCGCCATGTGGGCATGTGACCCTGGGGAGAGCCGTTCAATGCTGCAAACTTTCTTCCTATAAACTTACTCTGTGTAGTGTCATCGTTAAGCTGTTCAGTAAAAAAGACAGAATCAAAACCTTCCCGCCTTGTGCGCTGGAAACGCCGTGTCCACAGCAGCGACTGCGTACGGCTGGCGAGGGCGCGGCTGGCGAGGGCGCCGCTCAGGTGCTGTCTGTGCGGTTCCCAGAGGCTCGGATGCCAGTGTTGGTCAGTGAAAACCCAGAAGTATGAGCTGCAGGACACGACCGAACCTGTGTGTGTCCCTGTCACAGGCCCCGACACCTGGCTGGGGGCAGCATTCCAGCCTGGCCCTACAGTGACCGCTGGGCTGCGGATGTGCTTGTGGTGGGCTAAAGGTGACTGGTTAAATGCCTCGAATAGTATCTTACCTCGGTCTGAAAACGTGCTATCTGTCTCCTTCCGTGTACGTGTTTATTAATAGCAGCATGAACAGCCTGCCCTCATCCTCCACGGGGTGACCA